TGCTAATATGGGGAGTTCTATATTCTACAGCAATGTACTCACATCCACAACAAACAAATAACAGTGTCTTGAATGTGACTCCACTAAAAAAAACAAACAACAAAATAGGAATACAAAGAGTTAACTACATAGTAAAGAGATGTGTGCAAAGAAATTCATAGTGCATTATCCTCTCCCCGAAACAAAGCCCTCTTTAAACAATGGCACATTTTGTTAGTTACTCTGGTTTACTGTTCAAATGCAGCCATTCGGTTTTAGTTTCATGAGCAGAGCGACGTTTTCTACAAGGTATGAGGAAATAGACTCACACTATAAGCTAGTAACGTGAAAAGCAAATCTAAAAAAAAAAAAAAAGGAAAATAAATAAGAAGACAATCCTTAAAATTGGAATGTTTAAATAATAATAAAATGGATGTTTACATGGTTAGAAAACCTGCAAGAAATTTAAGGAAGTATCCAAACATTTGTCCAATACTGTCAGCACAGGCACTTTCATTTTGAGATAGTGTTTGAAATGTAATGTTTGAGAGTTACCTCATATCCTTATACAAACCATAGACATCAGTAAAGATACATCAGGGTAGGTGGGATACTATAACAACATTTAGCATATTGTTATACTATTCCACCCACCTTAATGAGGATCCTTTAGGTGTGGCGATGCCGTAGCCTTTGGAATCCAAATTCCCACCAACTTTCATGGTATCACAGGGTTTCCTTTGTTCGATGTACTCATTCATGGTTGACTCCAGCAAGTAGGCATATTTTCCTTTGGACTTCCGTACTCGAGCTACCCCTTCTGCTGTAGTCCTCACAAACACAGATGGTTCTGCACTTTTCATATAGGTCCACATTTTATCAAACACTGCAATTTTAGATCTCTGTGGAGACAATATGAAGCCTAATTAACTAATTTTTACGTAGACAGCAAAAGCACACCTGGGAAAATATGATTATGTCATTTTTAGACAAGTTTATTACCCAATGTTGAAAGATAGCAGCACCTACATTCTCTTTTTCTATTAGTATTATGCTGTCATTAGCTTTTTGTATTTGCTTTATTTCTATTTGCTGAAGATTTGAAGTAAACACTGCTACTTCCACTTTATCGGAGGTGTGCCAGATTAAAATATAGGATCTATATTCAAACTTCAGCAAAATATTCATCAGAAATTCCCACTCAAACAACATGATCTTTTTTGCAGCTCTCTGCAGCTGTGCGTTACGCAAATGAGAAGTGAGCTGAAATGTGTCATTGGCACTAGAAAACTTCAGATTGCTCCACAGAGGAAACTAAAATTGCTGTGAAACCTGAAGGGAATGTTAATAGCGTGGCATCTGTTTCAAGGTTGTTCTTACTTGTAATACTCCACATGCCTCACCAACTCAAGTCCGCAGGTCAGGGCTTCCTTTCAGAAGGATTGTTACTGGAAGTACGTTTCTTTTGCTTTAACCAATTGGTAGTTATAACTATAAGTGGCAGTTTTAACTACCAACTGATTGGTATTTTTTAACCTGGAAAAAAATACAGGAAACAAAATTTGCTACCTAGATGTCATGAAAAAGGAAGTGCATTGTTATGAAAGAAAAAGAAGGCAGAAAGGGACATATGACAAGTCAGGGTCAGTATCAATCACCAGTTGGAAAGAGTATATGAAGCTAGACTTCTCATATTGTCACATACTGTACAATTCCCATGAAGAATTAAGAAGGCATTGGCTTTTATCATCTCCCCCTTTGTAAGCTCAATAGAAAACCTAAATATGCTAACATTTCACATTTTACGTTGTCTGATTAAAATAGCTGTAGAACTACCAGTGTAGTTGACAACCAACCCTAAATGAATTTTCTTAAAAAGACAACCTAAATCATTATGAGAAGACTATAAACTACTGCAAGTTTATACTATGCTGCATGTAACTCAGCTATTATTACATTTCTACTTTGCTGAGGAAAATCAAGACCATTTCATTTTATAGTTAATTAGTTCCCTGTAATGTATTATGTGCCAATATACTAAATCTGTACTATAAAAAAAAGTATTAGAAGCACTTCTCTACTACACATCTTGTAACATAAACTTCAGAACTGCAATTCTGCTATAAATATAACATCTATAATCATACCATTAAAAAAAAAAGAATTAAATATAAAAGCATTGGTAATGGTATCACTGTCTCCCAAGGCTTCACTGTTCCTGTAGTACAGCATTATCATTTTCCGTGACTTACCCTCATTTTCTTATCCAGAAATGTAGTCTAGAAAGATTTTGAGGTTCAGATTTCTCCACGGTCTCTGTATATTTACTAGTATTAAAAGTTCTGGGCGTACTAAAAGCCATTGAAAGTTTTCTAACTTCTAAATATTCCAACTATTACGAGAGCCTACATGTACATCGGCACAGCCTTGCAGATCTGTTGTTGCATAACCTGATCTGTTTATCTACATACTCAGTATACCTACCCATTAATATCAGAAGGGTTGGAAATACTCAGCATGTCCAGGATGACTGAGAAAAGTAACTGTGCACTGAAGCTGCAGTGGGTTTTTCAGATTCTTGAAACACCTGCCATATTACATATGGACTGTTCTTGCTCCATCCAGAAGATTCTAAAAATTATGATCCTAAAAACTAGGGGAATCCTAAATAATGGTACATTGCACCATCTTTGAAAAGTTAGTTCACAAAGCAAATTATCACTGTGTAATATAAGAAAAATCATTAGAAAAAATCCAATATTGTACTTTTCTCTGCCAATTTACCTGATACATGGATAGACACAATTAAGTGCCTCTAGCAGATAGCAAATGGCATTCCACGCTCAAAGAGACTCCCACCTGCAGATCCAAGTCAGTCAGGCCATTTAATGTCTGAGAGACTCCATCAACTTCACCGGAGCATACAAAGAAAGTCTAATTGCATAGCTTTCTATCATCTGTTCCCTGAGTCCTGCTGCTGTTGATCACTTCCCTGGCAGCAGAGGTACCAGTGTTTAGCTCTGCAGGGTGCTCAATCTCCTCCTTCCTTAGCCCACACAGGCTTGGACTCAAAAGTCCCCAGCTGCATATGAAAGAACTCAATCTACCCTGAAATCTCATTCCCTAAACTTACTCTCTAATTAAACACAGATGTTCCATGCCATTCCTTTCACAGGTCAACATACATTTGTTGTCATGCATTCAACTTGCTGCATGGGTCTTGCCACAACAAACTAAGTTAACATCGTCGGTGTTATAAAAATGATTACAGTGGTACTTCAGGAATCACCACAGGTTTGCTTTAGGGGGGAAATGAAGTTGGTTTAGAGTTGTCTTACATGGTTCAGATTAACCCAGCGCAGACAACATACATTCGGGTGCCCGTCACTACCACATCCATTAGAAAGCATTTGGATCCCACATTGTAGAAGAGAAGAGGTTGTGCTGACACTTAAACCATTATTTTCTTCTGGTACAAACATTCAAACAATAAATAAATAGGCATTCTTTATTCCAGTTAAGTAACTGTCATGAACTGACTTAATTGCCTTTTCTTACCCCATTATTTCCTGGTTTATTAAAATGACCTTTTACAGACTTTGATATACACTGAGTAACAGAGGTCAGTTGTGCTTTTGTCATTCTACCTCAAAAAATGCAGCTCCCCATTTTCCTGTCACTCCACAAAAATGTGATCACTGCAGGTAAGTGAGAAGGATGAGGGAAGATCCATGACAGACTAAGGGGCTGGTGATGGACAGCTGAACGGGAAAATGCACAGGGAACAGATTTCCCAAATGGTCAAGTGTTAAGAAGAAACCTCCCACTAGATGGCTCACAGGGTCCTTGCCATACACATGAGCGTAGGAACACCCAACCCAGCAACCATGGATATAAAAACCTGGAACGAAAAACGTCACCAGAAAATAACACTCAGGATTTGCCTTGACTGCATGGTCCTCTGCAGCCATGAACACTGAAAAACATCACGCTGGAATGCATACAGCTCAGAGTCTTGATCCCTACCTAGTCCATGACTTTGTCTAGACTCATAAGAAATAAGAGCAACAAGCCTCTACCTAGGGGATACTTGTGACTTTTCATGTTTTTGTTTATATTGCTACACAATATATTTAGTAATAACACATTGTTTTCAGAACTGTGTCATTTTATTTCCTTCATTATTTTGGTTTCAGAACTTGTCTTGTATTTGAAAGGTAGAGCTAAAAGATGTAGAAAAAGGCAGTGTGAAGAGACCTTCATCTGGCACTCTGTGCAGACACACACACTCACTCATAAACCGGTATCATGTGACAGTTAAAAAAGCACATAGACTTATCCTGACTCAAATACATTGGGAAAAAAAAAACAAAACCCACACTACATTTGTATTCAAATTTGGCCAGTGCTATAATTGACTACGTATTTTATTCGTACATGAATGATCTTCTTCATCTCCTTACTTAGAAGAGCATGCAGTCACCAGCAACAACAGACTAAATGATGAAGAAGCAGAGTTCTTGTGAATGCAGGATGCCCTGTGTGCAAGTTGGGCTTTCACATCTGTTATATTTTATATCTTTACTGGCACCAAATACATTAAAGGACAGCAGTGCTCCATAAACCCACCACAACTTTCCATCATGCGATCCAAGCAACAGAACCATTGTAGACTGCTGTATTATTTGACTACAGGAATGCAGAAATATGGAAATAATCTGCATTGCTCTTAATTACTGTGGCTGATTGCTACTGCAAGATGACACTCCAGTGTATATATGAAATGTTAAAAGCTAATTATAACTTTGGTATTACAACCAACACCAACATGACAGTACAAGACCCTAATCTTAACAACACGTTTTCCCCCATTATTTACCACCCCTATGATAATACAATAGTGGCTACAAAAAGGCACCAGGAGCTAACACTTTTTTTTTTTTCCCCCAGTATCATGTCACCACTTGGTTTTTCGACTATGAAAATTATTATTATTACAAAGTACACATCCCATTTAAATGTAAAATACTGCCTTCATTAAGAAACTCATTAGCAAATTAAATTATGCAAAGCTTTATCAAATTAATTAACTATTTTGTGGGTCATCAGATAACTTTTACATTTTGTCATTCAAAGACCTATTATTCTTAAAATTGGGGTGCTGTAATTAGTATGTCATTGACAGAAATAGCTCCTCAGACTACTAACATTCTACTAGAGGATGATCTTGTACTGCAGGAGCAGAACTTCAATTCTCTAATATGGTTTGTGTAACCATCTCATTGACCTTCCACACTGAATAAAAGGACAGGAACTGCTATTGTCACCAGTAGCTAGAAAGAGTAACAACAAATGAATCTTGTCAATTTACACAGTAATCAATTATTGATACATCCAGAAACTACAGAATAGGTCAAAACTAGTTTTTCAGCTTTAATTAGCTCAAGATTAAGTACTTTTAATTACTTAGCCTTGTTTATACTGAGTGAATACTTAAGGTCAATAGAAGTTCAAATAGATGGAAGATCTAAATTTTGTAATATATTGATAATTTTATCCAGTACTAGTTAAAATTAGTTACATGTTCTTAAAATGCATTTTTATGGCTTTCCAGTTTCCATGACTTGAGCTACTTAAAATATCTTTAATATATTTGTTCTTATTAATAAAAATTGTAAAACTTTCTACCTCAAGAACTTGCTCCTCAAAAGCATATTGAAAATAATTATCTTTCAGTATGTGCCAAACAATGACCTTCGTCGTCATCATATATTTCAAGTGATTTAGAGTTAAGTGTTCAGGAAGGCTTGTATCACACAAAGGGATGTTAGTGTTAAAGTTTCAAGATCATTCAATTGCTCTTAATATATCTGAAGAAATTACTCCTCCTCTGAGACTTATT